ACTCTGCCTTACTTTGGGGAACAAAGTGGGAGGTACATCTCAAAGGTGAAAGAGTAAACATAGGTTCAACTGAAGAACTCTAAAAACTTGGCTAGAATACAGAAATGTCAAAATGAGGACTGGTGGCCAAGGGCCAAAAGACCAATCACGGGCCAGGCCAAGCCTGTAATCCCAGCACTTTGAAAGGCCGAGGCTGGTGGATCACAAGGTCAAGAGATCGAGACCATCCTGGTCATGATGGTGATACCCCGTCTCTGCTAAAAATACAAAAATTAGCTGGGCATGGTGGCACGTGCCTGTAGTCCCAGCTACTTGGGAGGCTGAGGCAGGAGAATTGCTTGAACCCAGGAGGCGGAGGTTGTGGTGAGCCGAGTTCATGCCATTGCACTCCAGTCTGGGTAACAAGAGCGAAACTTCATCTCAAAAAAAAAAAAAAAAATTAAAATCTAGCTAGCTTTAGGTTGGTCCTGTGCAGATAGTCTCTTAGCATCCCTGTTTCTGAAAAATTGAAAAGATGTACCATGGGAAGTAGAAAACTCCTTTTAAAGTTTCCTTTCTTGTTAAAGAATGAGTGTGCTAATAACTCTGTTAAGCCCTAACTTATGTAGCTGTTAGACATGCCGTGCTTACAGGCATGTAGTACATTCTGTGTCCTTGTACTTTAACCGAGATATCTGTGCTGGACGTGCTAACAGGCATGTTCCAGCTCTCCATTGCTTTTACCTGTTCAGAAGAGTTTTAAGTTGTTAGACAATTGGGTTTTAGATTGTGAGATCTGGCTTCAGCCAATGAGATCAGACACAGCAGTAGGAATGACCCCAAATGCATAAGGAATAAATTTGTCTGTTCTTCTTTGTTCTTTGTACTCTCGTGGCAAAATGGCTAGTGAGGGTACCCTTTCTGCAGTCCAGGGAGTAAAAATTGCATTGCTGAAAGATCCTTTGTCTCAGTGCGATTTTTCTTTGCGGCACCAAGCATCTATGTCCAACATATACTCAAGGAATCCTCCTTTTTTCAAAGCAGGATGCCATACGCTGCTCAGGAATAAGTGACATACTACAATTAATGTTCCTTTGGTGACAGAGCAGAAGTGAATTTTCATTCCTCCTTCCCCCTGGCCCAGGAGCTTCCATGCCAGGCCCATCCTCTCTGGGTGAGATGTGTATGTAGGTGGGGGAGCAGCAGAAGTTTCAAGAGGCAGAATGAGTTTCCCAGACTATCCCTCCCCAGCGCCTACTTGATCCTGAGCCACCATCCCATAAACACAGAACACTTTTTAAATTCCTGTCCATCACTGCAGCCGTCAAGTTGTGCTCCATTGACTGGGCCAATGGAGACTCACTCAGCAATTAATTCATACCTCACATATCAAAATTCACACAAACCAAGACTTTCTCATTTCCCTATGTCCACAGGACACAGACACATGAAAATAATGTAAATAAGAAGTTTTATGATAAAGTATGGGGAAGGACAAGCCAGAGAACCTTAGCTCAGCCGGGCCAGTGGTGTCCTTGGCTGGGCTGTGCTGTCACTGTGGGTCATCGAAAGGGCCTGGATTGATGGAAAGAAGCTTTCACTGGAGGCAGCAGGAGGCCCAGGAGGGGAAGCTGAGAAGCAGGGCTGGTATCCATGGGGGTGACCTCCAAGTCAGTTGTTGCTGGGGAGCTAGTTTAGCAGATGTGCTGGTTGCAGGGCTGGAACTGCCTTTAGATACAGTGATCCACAGACTGTGGCAGAGAGGAGCACTAGGGTCAGGGCAATGTGGGGCTCTGTGTGGAGAAAACAGGAAAATCCAAACACCCTGGAGATGGGGATTCCATTCTGCTGGTGCTGAGTGAAGTGAGGAAGAGCTGCTGAAGCAGCTGCAGGAGCAGGAGAGGGAGGGCTTGGGTTTCTCCTGGTGCAGTCCATGCTTGGAGCTGGGGAAGGGGCAGGGGGCAGCAAGGTGAATGGTGCTGAGGCCCAGGAATGGCAAGAAATGGCAGGAAGGAGATCTGAGAAGAACAGGGGGCCTGCTGAGTGGCGCTTCCTCCCAGACATAGCAGATATAGAGGGGGCCCCTGCAGCAGATGCTAGGAGGGACACTGGGCCCAGGCAGTCCTGGACCTGTGTCTCTAGTGTTGTGAATTTATGCTGGGTCCTAGAGTTCAGGAGGAAGATGAGCCATCCCTGCTGTAGGTAAGGACAAAGCTTGGTAAGGCCGTGAGGTTCTGCAGTCCTAGATGGCCGTGGCCTCACCCTGCAGTGCACTGTTGATGCACCAGAGCGCTGTCTCCTTCTCCAGGTCCAGGTCTTCAGCAGTGACCCGGAACCCCAGCTGTAAGGGAGGCAGCAGCATCAGAGGCTCCCCTCGCCTGCATGGCAGCAGAGGAAACTTGCATCTATGGGGCTTAGAGGTCTATGATGTGGGGAAGCTGTTCCTGGAGGTTTTGGCGCTGAAGGTGCAAAGGCTGCATCTGCCACCTTTGCACATTGGGTGCGACCCCAAAGACAGCCTGCGGGCTGCCCTCAGTCACTGTTTTTGAGGAGCTGAGGGGCAGCCGGCAGTGGGATGATGGTGGCCTCCTCCTCCTCCTCTTTAGCCATGGGAGGCTTCCCATGGCACTGTAGGAGCTGGAGATGGGATTTCGTTTGGATCAGGGGTTCATCCAGGAGCGCTGAGATTTCAGGTCATATCTGACTTCCGACCTCTGGGCATGGAAGGCTCTCTGCCGAGGCTTGGGCCTGGGCACTAAGGGCAAGGGGTATCTATTGTCCTGCAGAGGCCTAAAGGCAGACTGTGCATTCCTGGTGCCCTTGGAGCTCCTTTTCTCATCATCAGGATTCTCTTGGACTCCGGGGTCCTTGTCCTGCTCAGGCAACCCTGCCCCGCTCTCCCTGGGGGTCTTCAACATGATATCCTCTGGACAGGAGTCTGAGGCACACACAGCTGGGTGTTGTGGGCCCCAAAGGGTGACTCCCTGCTTCTGGGCCCCACCAAGAGTCCCTGTGCTCATTGAACTGGCTGACCTACAGGACATTCTGGAACTGGAAGCACACAGCACTGGCTTGCTGTGGTACCTGTGCATCCAAATTGAAGGCAGGATCACCAGGAAGAAACACAGGGCTTGCGGGATCACGGGAATATCCTAGTAGAGTTGCTTGGACACACCGCTGATGCTAAGTCTCTGGATACTTGCAGGATGGCCTGCCATTCTGTTCACAAGCAAAGTGAACTGGGGAATGGAGTGAGTGCGCTCCAGGAAACTGAGCCCTACTGGCAGGGGTGAGGGGCACAGCGCCCCCAGGTAACTGTCCCTGGGAGCAGTGGGGAACCGTCAGATGCTTGAACTCTTGAGAGCTGGGCTCTGACGGTTCTCCTCTAACTGCCAACTCGGCCAAAGAATAGAGCGCAGTTTTGAGAGCTTGGCTCTGAAGCTTCTCTTCTAACTGCCAACTCGGCCAAACAATAAGAGCTTAGTTTCACCTGCTGCCGGGAGCGCATCTTTCAAACCTGCGCGACGATTGGGCGGGCAACGGGCGAGTATAACGGATTGGCGCGGTCTGGTCGCGCGGACAATGCACGTGTAGGTAATGGCAGCGGCGCGCGCAATAGATTTTGGAGGGAGCCAGCTCGCTCAGAGGATGAGGGAGGAACAGCCCTGCGCAAAGGCTGCGGATCTGCCCCCTGGAGATCCCCGCTCTCTTGCTGAAGGTTGAGGGTCTGGTGGGGCCAGGAGGAGGGTTCCTTCTCCTCCTGGCCCCACCAGAAGGGACCGCTACCCTAGCAAGAGCTGTCGGTGCACTGTCCAAAATCGGGTCCCACCTGGCAGAGGGGGCGATACAGGGGAGCAGGATTCTGGTGCCCAGCACGTGGTGCAGCCGATGACAGCTTTGAGATCAGCACGTGTGAGTCCTCTTGCGCCCTTGTTGGAAACCCTGGAGGGGAGAGTCGCTTAGAACAGCATTGCACAGGTCACCCAGATCCTGCCGAGGATGGTGGTGGCCAGGGTAGGTTGGAGGAACCTACTTTCCATAGGACTCAGCACTCCCCTCCCTGTGCAGCTGACCAAGAGAAATCAAACAAAGCTTCCTTTTCTACAGACATATTTGAGTGAAGCTGGGTTGTCTTTCTATATTACAATCAAACAAGATACTGAGACAGGTTGAATGCAGGAGGAAACAAAAGAATCCAACTGTCCTTCACTTTGCAAAAACGTACAACAAGGCCACTCAGTCCCTTCTTTGTTTATTTGGTTTGGAGATGATCATCACTTCCCTTTTTTCTTATAATGCTTTCCTGAAGCAGAGATTATATTTTTTAGAAAAGGGTATTATTTGCATTTGCATGCAAGTGTGTTATTTTTCAATCCATTAATGGTTCTCAATTGCCCATCTTTCATTTCATATTTTGTTTTGAAAGAAATTTAGGCAGAAAAGCTGCAAAAAATAAGCACAAAACTTCTATCTGTCCTTCTGCCAGCTTCTAATGTCAATATCTTGCACCACCTTAGTTACAAGTGTGGAAACCAGGACATTCACATGGATATATGATTAGCAAATGAACTGCAGACCTTATTTTAATTTCACCAATCTTTCCATCACTTTCTTTTTTCTGTTGCAAGATCCAGTCGAGGATCCCACACCGCATTTAATTGGCAGGTGCCCCTTGGACGCTTCCATCTGTGCCAGTTTCTCACTATTTCCTTGTCTTTCATGCCCTGGAAATTCTGAAGAGTACTGGTCAGGTATTTTGTTGAGTGTCTCTGAATTTGTGTTCTTCTGATGTCTTCTCATAATCAAATTGAGAATTTGCTTTTAATGGAGAGGACACCACACATGTGATGCTTTTTTCCTCAGTGTGTCACATCTGAGGGTACCTGATGGTGCTGTGTCGTTTGTAAGGTGACATTCACTTGACCACAAAGTTCATGCGGTGTCTGCCATGTTTTCTTATGGGAAAGTTATTATGTTATTTTTTGGTGTTGTTAACTTTCCTTTCTTCCTTCCTTCTTTCCTCCCTCCCTCCCTCCCTCCCTTCCTTCCTTCCTCCCTCCCTCCCTTCCTTCCTTCCTTTCTCTCTTTTTCTCTCTTTCTGTTTGTGATGGAGTCTGGCTCTGTCACACAGGCTGGATTGCAGTGTTGCAATCTCCACTCACTGCAACCTCTGCCTCCTAGGTTCAAGTGATTCTCCTGCCTCAGCCTCCCAAGTAGCTGGGATTACAGGCATGCACCACCCTGCCCAGATATGGGTTTGTTTTTTTTTTTTTTTTTTTTTTGCATTTTTAGTGGAGATGGAGTTTCACCATGTTGGACAGGCTGGTCTCAAACTCCTGACTTCAGGTGAACCATCTGCCTTGGCCTCTCCAAATGCTGGGTTTACAGACACAAGCCACTGCACCCAGCTAGTGTTGTTAACTTTCATAGGGAAGGCATACTTTGGAGACAGTACGTTGAGGTTATGTCAGTGTCCTGCATCTTATCAGAATTCTGCAGAGAGATTTTAGCCACCTTGAAGGATTCTTGTCTGCAACACTGATTTCTTGCTTCAAGTGATTCTCTATTTCCCTCATTCTTTCTACATTAATCAATTGAAAATCTTCCGTAAGGATCACTGGTCCCCTCTTCTACACTTGTTTATTCATTCAGTTATTTATTTATATCTGCATAGACTTGCCAATACTTACTTTATTGTATGGCTAATAATTTCATACTATCGATATGCACTTTCTAGCCAAGATGCTTTCAGGTCTGGCCAATGGGAGCTCCTTAAGACTGGCTCCTGTGTCCTTCCAGAGAGCTCCATCCTTTAGTGAGCACCTCTTTGCTCCTGTGTAACAAGATGTTTTGCATTCATCTTGTATTTTTCCCCTCAGCTTTGAAATCAAGTTCTTCTTCAATGAGACCTGGCTCTTTTGATTAGAGGGTGGTTGGAAAGTGAGCACTGGACAGGATTCTGCTGTTGCTTCTAGCTCCCCCCAGTGGACAGAACTAGAAAATATACCTAAGTCTATCAACCCCTTAGAGGGACACACATCCATTAATACACTTAGGACTAAATGGACATAATTTTTTAAATACACGAGTTTACACAAATGCCTTCAATTACCATCCAGTGCCACAGACTATAGCCTAATATCCCATTTTTTCATTTCATTTTCCAACAGTGAGAAACCTGGCCCTCAGGCTTTACCATGGATGGTTCAGGGTTTCTTGTTTTTGTTTTTTTGTTTTTCTCATTCGATAGTTCAGTTTTTTTATTCCTACAGAGGAGCTTCAGAACCGTGAATCCACGTGAACCTCTGGGAGACATTTGCTAGCTAGACGGTTTTTCCCACTAGTCTTCTCTCATTTAGCAATATGCTATCCTTCAAAATACTCTTGTGCAAAGTTTTAGACAGACCACCTCCTTCCCTGCCCCTATCACTGTAGCTGTGTTATTCTTTCACGAGAGATAGAGATTCAGTTGTTGTTGTTTGGGGTTTTCCCCAAATCCTGGCTGATTCACCCAAGTAGGACCCAGGCTGCATGCCCATCTCCAGCCCATGGCAGCTCTCCTGTAAGCTGGACAGGCTTCTGAGGGCAAGAAAATAGGTGGCTGAGAATACCCAGGGCCCCGCACAGGTGGTGGAAAGCCTGGACTCAGCAGCAACACCAAACCCCAGACCCAGCAGAAACCACCCAAGACCAGGCGATCGTACCAGAGCAGTGGCCGCAGGTAAGAACCCGGGCCCAGGCTGTGTGTGGCGGGAGTCCTCCCTGTCCCAGGGCCCAGTACAGCAAAGGAGCACCAGCCGGGTCATCCTGGCAGAGGTCTGTCCCGGATCCACCTGCAGGGGCAGAAAACCCCTTCCAAGGGGGGATCATCTCTCTCCAGCAAAACAGTGGTCCCTGCCCTAATCACACTGCCCAATTCAGTGGAGTTACTGCTGCTGCTCCAGCGTCCTAACGCTGTCCAGCCTGCACCTGCCTGTGCTCATCCACACCCCCCAGGCCTGCCTTCCCTGTGGCCTGTGCTTGGCCACCTTGGCCTAATTGAGCACTGAGGCCTCCTGGGCACCCAGCCCATCACTGCACCTGTGTTTTCCAGTCCCCGCCCCACTGGCTCAGGGGTTCCACCTAGCGGCGCTGATGATGAAATCAACAAGCACGGGAGTCGTGTCAGAGAATTTTAATGAAAGCGTCGGCAGTTCTTTCCCCCATGGTGCTGTGCAGGTGGCCGAGCTCATATTGCCGCTGATAAGACACCAGCCACTTACAGAGAGAAAGCGAGGCTGCTTCAAACCCAGGGCCTGATGCAAAAAAGCATCACTTCTGGTCAGGGAGTCTGGCAGCCATGCCTTGTGGGAGGTCACACTGGCACCCAGGCCTCTGTCTGCGTTGCAGGGGGAGAGCTGGGTCCCGTCCTGGAGAACGCTGCATTTCCCAGCCCCGAACCAGCTTTGCCTCTGCACAGGATTTTGAGCCAGGACGCAGGTAAGTGACACACCTCAAGTCCTAAAGCCATCATCACTCCTGGAACCCAGTGGGGGAGGATCCTTTTTAGAACATGGAAAGTGTGGTCATCCCATCATTAGACAAGCACATATCGTACATAAATAAAAGTCGCATGGGGACGCAGGTAGGGGGGAAACGAAAAATGGCACAGACATCGATAGATTGCTTTCCAGTTTCAAGGCGGCAGATAGATGCACATCATGAGACCAGAGGAGACAGAGACCAGCACTGGATTTGGCTTTTCTAAGCCACATGTGTTCCCTTGCAGGGCTGGAGGGTCGAGGAGACAGACAGAGATGGAAGCCAGGACAGGGGAGCCCACTGGGCCCAGAAAGGTACAGAGGGCAGGGAGGCTCCTGTTCTGTCTTCTCCACCCACCAGGGTGACTCTTCTTGCAAACGGTGCTGTGCCCTCCCAGCAAGAAAAAAGCACAACTAAATCCACACCACACACAGACGCAGACAGAAAACCTTGTGGCTCTGTTTCCTGCCCCCAGACTCACCAGGTCCACCAGCAGAGAAGTGTGAGGCACACAACCCCGCTGTCAGGCTCCCCGAGGTGCTGCGGGCTCAGCAGGAGCTGCCCATCTACACACAGGGGACACCCACTCCTCCGACGTTGGGAGAGGTTGCCGAACAGAGCTGCGCTGGGTGCTGGCATCATCCTGGGACCCCACACACTTTCCTGAGTGCGATCCCACTTTCCTCCTCTGGGCAGATGCATCCTCTTCTCCTGCAGGATTTTCTGGAAACTCAGCTCTCAGCTTCGGGTCCCTTCTCCCCTTTCCCTGACCCAAACCTCTTTCTTAAAAAGTGGTGCAGTTGTTTATGGGTTTATTTCTTGCAAATAGGTGGCAGCCTCCACGCTTCTGTTTTCTTTTAGCAAGATGGTCAGGTGGGGTTGCAAAGAATGCCTGGACTCCCATGCACGTGCTGACAGAGGGGGCAGCAGGTAGTCCTGAGCCTCCACCTGCTCTGGGAAGGAGCCCCCGGTCCCTAGGCCTGGTTCCTGCATAACTCTCCACGTATCCTGTTCTCCAGAGTCTTAAGAACCCACTCCTGAGGGCAGCAGAGCCAGGCACTTAGAGGAAGACAAAATGCAGCCAGGGCACGGATTGTCCACGGAATACATTCTAGCATCTTACCAGGTATTGGAATCTGTTAGGAAAAAATCAGAAACTATGTGTAAAACTTAAAAATATTCAAGTATCAAAAGACATTTCAGATCAAAGTTTTAAAACAAGTCGGCCAGGCGCGGTGGCTCATGCCTGTAATCCCAGCACTTTGGGAGGCCGAGGCAGGTGGATCACGAGGTCAAGAGATCGAGACAATTCTGGTCAATATAGTGAAACCCCGTCTCTACTAAAAATACAAAAAATTAGCTGGGCATGGTGGCATGTACCTGTAATCCCAGCTACTCAGGAAGCTGAGGCAGGAGAATTGCCCGAACCCAGGAGGTGGAGGTTGCAGTGAGCCGAGATTGCACCATTGCACTCCAGCTTGGGTAACAAGAGCGAAACTCTGTCTCAAAAAAAAAAAAAAAAAAAAGAAGAGATAATCATGTGGTTTTTGTCTTTGGTTCTGTTTATGTGGTGAATTACATTTATAGACTTGCCTATGTTCAACCAGCCTTGCATCCCCAGGATGAAGCCTACTTGATCATGGTGGATAAGCTTTTTGATGTGCTGTTCCAATTGGTTTGCCAGTATTTTATTGATTTTTGCATCTGTGTTCATCATGGATATTGGCCTGAAGTTCTCTTTTCTTGCTGAGTCTCTGCCGGGTTTTGGTATCAGGATGATGTTGGTTTCATAAAATGATTTGGGAAGGATTCCCTCTTTTTGGATTGTTTGGAATAGTTTCAGAAGGAATGGTACCAGCTCCTCTTTGTATGTCTAGTAGAATTCGGCTGATCATTAAAAAATCTGGAGACAACAGATGCTGGAGAGGATGTGGAGAAATAGGAACACTTTTACACTGCTGGTGGGAGTGTAAATTAGTTCAACCATTGTGGAAGACAGTGTGGCGATTCCTCAAGGACCTAGAAATAGAAATTCCATTTGACCCACCAATCCCATTACTGGGTATATATCCAAAGGATTATAAATCATTCTACTATAAAGACACATGCACACGAATGTTCACTGTAGTACTGTTTACAATAGCAAACACCTGAACCAACCCAAATGCCTATTGATGATAGACTAGACAGGGAAAATGTGGCACATATACACCATGGAATACTATGCAGCCATCAAAATGGTGAGTTTGTGTCCTTTGTAGGGACATGGATGAACCTAGAAAGCATCATTTTCAGCAAACTGACACAGGAACAGTGTCAAACACCACATGTTCTTACTCACAGGTGGGTGTTAAACAATGAGAACACATGGACACAGGAAGGGAAGCATCACACACTGGGGTCTGTCAGGGGGAAATAGGGGAAGGACAGCAGAGGGGGAGTTGGGGAGAGATAGCATGGGGAGAAATGCCAGATATAGGTGATGGGGAGGAAGGCAGCAAATCACACTGCCATGTGTGTACCTATGCAACAATCTTTCATGTTCTTCACATGTACCCCAAAACCTAAAATGCAATTTAAAAATGGCTTGAGGAAAAAAAAAAAAGAAGTGGGCTGTCATGACAGAAACTTATAAATAAAGCCCTAACCTCCCGGGACAGAGCACCTGGGGAAAAAAAGGCGGTTATGAGTTCTGCTGCAGCAGACTTAAATGTACCTGCCCAGCAGCTCTGAATGGAACAATGGCGCTCACAGCTCAGCACTTGAGCTCCTATAAAGGACAGACTGTCTCCTCAAGCAGCTCCCCGGCCCCCGTATATCCAAAGAGTCACCTCATAAAGGAGAGCTCAGATTGACATCCGGCACGTATCCTTCTGGGACAAAGACAGCAGAAGAGGAAACTGGCAGCAACCCTTACTGTTCTGCAGCTGCTGCAGGTGATCCCCAGGCAAGCAGGGTCTGGAGTGGACCTCTAGCAGTCCTACAGCAGAGGGGCCTGACTGTTAGAAGGAAAACTAAGAAACAGAAAGAAATAACCTAGTTATCAACAAACAGGACGTCCACTCAGACACCCCATCTGAAAGTCACAAACTACAAAGACCACAGGTAAATAAATCCACAAAGATGGGAAGAAACCAGTGCAAGAAGGATGAAAACACCCAAAACCAGAATGTCTCTCCTCCGAGGGATCACAGCTCCTCACCAGCAAGGGAACAAGGCTGGATGGAGAATTAATCTGGTAAATTCACAGAAACAGGCTTCAGAAGGTGGGTAATAAGAAACTTCTCTGAATTAAAAGAACATGTTCTAACCCAATGCAAAGAAACTAAGAACCTTGAAAAAAGATTTGACAAAATGCTAATGAGAATAAACAACTTAGAGAGGAACATAAATGAATTGATGGAGCTGAAAAACACAATACGAGAACTTTGCCAAGCATACACAAGTTTCAATAGCCGAATTGACCAAGCAGAAGAAAGGATATCAGAGGTCGAAGATCAACTCAATGAAATAAAACGAGAAGGCAAGGTTAGAGAAAAAAGAGTAAACCTAACATTAATTATAATTAATAATTATATATTTGCAATCAGCTGTTATTCGAATACTTTATGTCAAATTGTTATATGTTAAAATGATGACTCTTCTTTCTATAAATGTATGTATCTTAGCACAGTGCAGAATCTCAGTCAGTTTATGTTCAGCATTCTGTACTCTCATGTGTGTCTTTTATCCTTAAAAAAGTGAGTCCTCCATTTGGCCTCAGACCTGAGGGCCTGAGAGTTGGGACCACCTCACTCTCAGATTTCTATTTTCCACAAGTTAAATTCTTCCTGCCGTCTCCAACCCAGTCCAATATATCATCAGCTGCTATCAATATCATTTTATTTTCAATCCAATTTGCTTTCTAAGATTTGATTGCTCTTGTCTAAGCCTTTCAACTCTATTTAAAAATTTTGTCTACTCTTCAGAGAAAAACAATCAACAAAGAATCCTCTGAACAGGAAAGTTATCAATAAGAAATAAATGTAAAATAAACCCATTCCAGATAAACAAACACTGAGTTGATTTCAACTAAGTTGAAATCAAATGACCAAAGATGATAATTTGAATCTACATAAAATAACAAAAGCACCAGTAAAGATAATCATGTCATGATAAAAGACATTATGCATACATATTCCTTTTTGTTTCTTATCTTATTTTCAAATATGAATGTATAACAATAAAGATAGAATTGCATTGCTGGAACTATTACAAATACAAATGTAATATATTTACCAATAACTAAACAAAGGAATAAGTGATAAAGTTGTTGTGAAATAAAGACATATTCTCTGATATATTGAAATATTCTCTGACATATTTCAAATAACTTGAATATCCTGGAATAAATGAGGAAATCCAGAAATGAAAAATAAGAAAGTCCATATGACAGAATTTGTAGATATATAATTGCTTTTCTTTCTTTTCTCAGCTTCAAGAGAAATAAAATTATATAAAATAAAAATTATAAACTATATTATTAAGTTTATAACATGTAGATATAAGTATAAAATTAGCTTATAACATGTAGCTGTAAGTATAAAATTAATATTACAAAATGAATAAGAAATAGAAATATATATTCTAGCATTCATATAACTCATTAATATTAACAGTATAAATGCAAAGCAGATTCTAATGAGTTAAGATGTGTATGAGAAGCCCCGAAAGAAAAAATAGCTCCAAATATATATTTAAAAATCATAGAATAAATTGCAATGTTACATAAAAAATATTCTCTTAATGCAAAAAGACAGGATAGAAAAAAGTAATAAAGTATGCAGATGATATATAGAAGACCAAAATAGTACAACAAGTATAAATTCAGCTATATAATTATTGACACTAAATAGAAAAAGATTAAATAATTAAATTTAAAAAGCTGAGATTGTCAGACATTATAAAAGTAAGATACAAATACATACAGTCTATAGCACAATCACTTTGGATCCAAAGAAACAAATTGGGTAAAAGCAAAGGAATAAAAACATCCAAGCAACAGATATAATAAAGTTGTAGTTACAATTACAAAATTTTTTTTAAAAAGCCAAAAGAACCCACACACTTAGATGTGTAAGGTGAGACATTCCATATTGATAAAAGAGTCAATTCTGCAGGAAGATTTAACAATAGTCAGCGAATATAGAAGTTAAAAAGCAATAAAATATGAGAAACAAAAACTGATAAAAATAAAACAAGAACTAGATAATCCCACAATAACAGTTGGAAATTTAAATGCCCCATTTTCAATAATGGATTAAAAAACAGCCAGCATATCAATGAGAAAATAGACTTGAAGAAAATGAATCAACTGAGACATAACAGTTGATTCCACCTAACAAGAGCAGACTATGCAATCTCTAAGTGCTCATGGAATGCTCTCCATGATAAACTATGCTCTAGGCTATAAAAGAAACAATAAAATTAAAATAATTGAAGAAATGCAAAGTATTTTCTTTCATCATAATGGAATAAAATTAAAACTTAATGACAGCAAGAAATACAGGAAATTCACAGATATGTAAACATTAAGCAATGAAGTTATAAATAGCCATGTCAAAGAAGAAATTTAAAATTGGGAAATAATTTGAGTTGAATAAAAATGATTACTCAACATAAGAAAACATTTAAGATGCAGCAAAACTAGTATCCAAAGGGCTGTTTATAGCAGTCAATTTCTACATATAAAGGATTTCAATACAACAACCTAGGCAAAGGATTTTTTGAGGGCAGGGGGCAAAAAAAGTCTTACTGAAATGCCTGACAGGAAAGAATAGAGAGTGCAATGATTTGGGGATAAGATCTTTGAAAAGTGTTTGCATAGTTAAGAGAACGTAGAAGGCAATGTTTAGGGTCAGGTGCAGGCTCAGAAAAGACCTAGAAAGGCCCTAATTTCTGATATCTGTTTGACCCTCAAGCTCTGGACAGACAAAGGGGAACAGAGCACAGCTTCAAAAATTTGGCATTTTTTTTTTTTTGCATTGGTAAGTCCAGCTACGCATTTAGTCTATAAATGGCACATTATTGCAAATGTTAATGGGTACACTGTGATGTTCTAGAATGTACATATATTGTATAATGATAAAATTAGGGTTATTAGCATGTTGGTCACCTCAACCCTTTATCATTTCTTTATGGTGATAACTTTCAACATACTCTTTTCTAGCTATTATAAAATATATGCTACATTGTTATTTTTATTTATTTATTTTTTTGAGACGGAGTTTTGCTCTTGTTACCCAGGCTGGAGTGCAATGGCGCGATCTCGGCTCACCGCAACCTCCGCCTCCTGGGTTCAGGCAATTCTCCTGCCTCAGCCTCCTGAGTAGCTGGGATTACAGGCACGCACCACCATGCCCAGCTAATTTTTTGTATTTTTAGTAGAGATGGGGTTTCACCATGTTGACCAGGATGGTCTCGCCTCAGGATCCACCCGCCTCGGCCTCCCAAAGTGCTGGGATTACAAGCTTGCTACATTGTTATTACCTATAGTCACCCTACTATGTAATAGAACACCGTAATTTATTTTTTATATCTAAGTGTAATGTTGCACCCACTGACTGATGTCTCTCAATCTTTACCTTCCCAGAACCCCGGTAACCACCATTCTACTCTTAACTTCTATAAGATTTACTTTCCGGTATTCCACGTTAGTGATATCAAGCGGTATTTGTCTTTCGATGTGTGGTTTCTTTCATTTAAAATTATATCTCCTAGGTTCACTCATATTGCCACAAATGACAGAATCTCACTTCTTTCTATAGCCAAATAGTATTTCATTTTGTACATATACCACATTTTCTGTATTCACTGATGGGCACGTATTGATTTAATTTCTTGGCTATTGTGAATAGTGCTGCAATAAACATAAGGCAAATATCCTTTTCACATGTTAATTTCAATTACTTTGGGTGTATATCTAAAGTCCTATCATGAACCATATAGTATCTCTATTTTTAATTTTTTGAGAAATCTCCATACTGTTTTTTATGATGGTGGTACTAAAGCTACATTCCCACAAAGTGTAAAAAGGTTTTTGTTTCTTTGCATCTTCACAAACGTGTTATTTTTTGTCTTTTTAATAATAGCCATTGTTACTAGGGTGGAGCGATAACTCATTGTGGTTTTTATTAGCACTTCTCTTACAGTTAGTGATGTTGAACATTTTGTTATAAACTTGCCAGCCATTCCTAAGCCTTACTTTGAGAAATGTCTATTAAAGTCTTTTGCCATTTTTAAACTGGATTGTTTTGTTTTCTTTTGTTTGTTTGTTTTGCTATTGAGTTGTCTGAGTCCTTTATATACTCAGGATATTTGTATAGTTTGCAAACATTTTCTCCCATTCCGTAGGTTGTCGCTCCACTCTTTCAATTGTATTGTTCGTCGTTCAGCTTTTTGTTAGACGCCTCAGCTGCTTATGTATAAGGTGGAGCTTTGCAGTTTGATACAATCTGTTTGCCTATGTTTGCTTGTGTTGCCTATGCTTTTGAGGTTCTCTACAAAAATTCCATCTCAAGAGCAATATGATAGAGCATTTCACATGTTTTCTTCTAGTAAGTTTTAAATTTTGGGTCCTACGTTTAAGTATTCAATCTATTTGAGTTGATTTTTGAATATGTAAGAAATAAGAACCGAATTTTATTATTCTGCTTGTGGCTATACAGTTTTCCCAGCATCATTTATTGAAGAGACTGTCTTTTCCCCGATGTGTGTTCTTGGCACTTCTGTCAAAAATCACTTGGCTTTTTAGCCTAGATTTATTTCTGGTTTCCCTAGTCTTATAATACAAAGAATTACAAGAGACTATTAAGAATAACTTAATAGTTCCATCGGTCTAAGTACCTGGATTTTTTTTTTTTTTGGTAGCTTGTTTCTGCTTTTTTTGTCAGTACCATGTTGCTTTGGTTACTAAAATTTGCAGTACATTTGAAGTCAGATGACGTGATGTCCCCAGCTTTATTTATTTTTGCTGAAGGTTACTTTAGCTATTTTGGTCTTTTGTGATTTAATTTAAATTATGTACTTTTTTATTTCTATGAAGAATTTCATTGCCATTTTGATAGGAATTATGATAAATCTGTAGATCACTTTGGATACTTTGAACATTTTAATGATATTATTTCTCCAAATATGAAAACAGGGTATCTCTTTTGATATCTTCAGTTTGTTTCATCAGTGTTTTATAATTTTATTGTAGAAATCTTTCACATCCTTGGTTAAATTTATTCCTAGATATTTTATTGTATTCAATAGCAGTTATAAATGAGAGTGCTTTCTTGATTTCTTTTTCAGATACTTGTTAGGAGCCTATAGAAATGCTACTAATGTTTGTGTGTTGATTTTGTATCCTGCAACTTTACTGAATTAATGTATTATTTCTAATAGTTCCTTAAAGGAATTGAGATTTTCTATACATATGATCATGTCATCAGAGAACGGGGACAATTCCCCTTCCTGTTTTCCAATTTAAATGTCGTTTATTTCCCTCTTTTGCACAATTGCTCCAGCTGGGACTTCAAGTACCATGTTGAATAAAAGTGGTAAAAGTGAGCATACTTGAATTGTTACAGATCATAGAGAAAGGATTTTTAACTTTCTTCCTTCACTCTAATGTTAGCTGTGGATTTGTCATGTATGACTTTTATTGTGTTGAGGTTTGTTCCTCTAATACCTAAATTGTATGGAGTTTGTATCATAAGAGATGTTATATTTACTGAATACTTTCCTGCATGTGTTGAGATGACCACATGGTTTTTGACTGATGTATTATGTTTATGGATTTGACTATATTGAACCATTCTTGCATCCTTCAGATGACTCCCAGTTGTGTACGGTAAATAATCTTTTCAAAGTGTTGTTGGATGCAATTTGCTGGTATTTTTTCTTTTAGTGTTTATGCATCTGTGCTCATGTGAGAAATTGGTTTCCTTTTTTGTGGTGTTTTTTGGTATCAGGTTAATGCTGGCCTTGTGAATAACTTTGGAAGTATTCCCTCCTCTTCCACATTTTGTAAAAGTGTGAGAAGTATTGTTAATTCTTCTTTGTATGTTTGTTAGAATTCAATGGTGAAGCCATCAGTTCCTGAAACTTTCTTTGATGGGAGAGTTTTTATTTCCAGTTTCATCTTCTTACTCATTATTGGTCTTTTCAGTTTATTTCCTCATGAGTCAATCTCAGCAGGTTTTATGTGTTCAGTAATTTATTCATTTCTTCCAGGTTTTTCATTTTGAGGCAAATAGTTGTTCTTAATAATCTCTTGTAATCCTTTGCATTTCTGTGGTATCAATTGTAATTTCTCCTTTTTATCTCTAATGTTATTTATTTGAGTCTTGTCTCTTATTTTCTTAGTCTACTAACAAATTGTTAATTTTATCTTCAGAAAACCAACTATCTCATTCATCTTTTCTATTTTTAAAATTTTCTATTTTGTTTATTTCTATTCTGATCTTTATTTTTTTATTTATTTTATTTTATTTTATTTTTGTAGACAGAGTTTCGCTCTTGTTACCCAGGCTGGAGTGCAATGGCGCGATCTCAGCTCACCACAACCTCCGCCTCCTGGGGTCAGGCAATTCTCCTGCCTCAGCCTCCTGAGTAGCTGGGATTACAGGCACACGCCACCATGCCCAGCTAATTTTTTGTATTTTTAGTAGAGACGGGGTTTCACCATGTTGACCAGGATGGTCTCGATCTGTTGACCTCGTGATCCACCCGCCTCGGCCTCCCAAAGTGCTGGGATTACAGGTGTGAGCCACCGCGCCCGGCCCATTCTGATCTTTATTATTTCTTCCCTTTTACTACTTCTACTACTTTGTACCTTTGTTTTTTCTCATTTTTCTGGTTCCCTGAAATATAATATTAGATTATTTGTTTGAAAGTTCTTTTTTCATGCAGGTATTTATTGCTATAAACTTCCCTCTTAGAATTGCTTTTGCTAGAGTGCAATTTAACTCCATTTATTTGTTGTAGATGATTATTCTGTCTGGACTTGTTTCACTGCTGAAAATGTGGTGCCGAAATTTTCTATTATTATTGGATTATAGTCCATTTTTCCCTGTAGGCCTATTAGTATTTACTTAATGTATTTGTGTGCCCCAGTGTTGGGTACATATTTGTTTATAACTGTTACAACCTAATGCTATATTGATCTCTTTATTATTTAATAACGGCCTTCATCATCTTTCTTTACCATTCTTGACTTAAAGTCAGCTTTATCTAATGTATCTACTCTTGTGATTTTTTTGGTTTTCATTTGATGGTTTATCTCGTTCTGTCATTTCACTTAGTCTATCTGTCTTTGCAGATTAAGTGACATTGTAGACAGCATATATTTGGCCTTGTTTTTAAATTTATTCAGCTATTCTAATCTCTTCATTAAATAATTTAATCCATTTACCTTCAAGGTTATTATCGATAAATAAGGACTGCGTACTGCCATTTTGTCACTACTTTTCTGGTTGTTTTGCAGATCCTTTGAGGATCCTGAAGCTGAGGTCCAGAGGAGGGGAGGGACAGGCCCTGGGCGCTCCCCAGGCAAAGGGAGCTGATCTTGGGACTGGGGTCACAGGGCTTCACTTCTGCGACCTCTAGGGCCCCAGAGCTGGGGAGGATGAGAGACTGGGAGTTTTCGTTCACCCCTCGGGCTGGACAGAGGCTCGGCCTGTGGCACAACCCAAAGCCGCCTCTGGCCAGTCCTTGGCCCCTTTAAGACAGGATGGTGCTTCAGCCGGGCGCGAGGGACGCTGCCAGCGTACGTGCCCCTACGGAAGCTGAGACTACGCTACTTGCGTGGATACGGCAAGAGCGGCTGCGTGGTCGGAGCGAGCTTCAGAGAAGCTGTGGTGGCTTTCATGAGATGGTGGAGGAGGAGGCAGGTCTCCGCGGTAAGTGGCGGGGGCATGGACCCTACTGGGAACTCTTTGGGCTTCTTTGCTCCTCCCGGCCGCTCCCTGCTTTCGGGCCCTGACTTCTTTGTGGGCATCTGGGCCCTAGTCGTCCTCATGAGGGCAGTTGTGGGGTCCTGGCCCCGGCAGCTTCCGCATCCCCTCCCGGCTCGTGTCTAACCAGCATCCGGCGTATAGGAGCACCTTGGCCCAGAGCTGGCTGTGAAGCTCGGGACCTGGGTCCCTCCAAGCCCCGCCGGCCGCTGAGCTGGGGTCTAGGGTTATTTTTGCTGCTTCAGGACCTTTAGAAAGAGACCTCGCTAGAGCAGGGGACGTCTGTGGTCTTTAAGGAGTCTCCAGTTATTTAGCTGTTTTCCATGGTGTGTATCCTAATTTTCATTTCCACCTGCAGCGTATGAGTTCCCCTTTATGAAAGCCACATCCACATCCCTATTTTTTTTTATTTTTATTTTTTTTGAGACTGAGTCTTGCTCTGTCGCCTAGGCTGGATGCAGTGGTGCCATTTCAGCTCACTGCAACCTTTGCCTCCCGGTTCAAGCAATTCTCCTGTCTCAGCCTCCTGAGAAACTGGGACTACAGGCGTTGGCCACCATGCCAGGCTAATTTTTATAATTTTAGTAGCGAGGGGGTTTCACCATATTGATTGTCAGGCTGGCCTCAAACTCCTGACCTCAGGTGATCCACTTGCCTGGCCTCCCAAAGTACTGGGATTACAGGTGTGAGCCACCGTGTCCAGCTCCCCCTATTTTGTAAAAACTTTCTGGGAATATGTGGTTTTGAATTACAGCTTTTTTTGTGTGATCAATTTTTTTTATTGTATTTTAAGTTCTGGGGTACATGTGCAGATCTTGCAGGATTGTTACATAGGTATACACATGCTATGGTGGCTCGCTGCCTCCATCCCCCCGTCACCTACATTAGGTATTTATCTTAATGTTATCCCTCCCCAACCTCCCCACCCCCTGCTATTGCTGCCCTAGTCCCCCAATCCCCCAACAGACCCCAGTGTATGATGTTCCCCTCCCTATGTCCATGTGTTCTCATTGTTCGGCATCCACTTATGAGTGAGAACATGCCGTGTTTGATTTTTCTGTTCTTGTGTCAGTGTGCTGAGAATGATGGTTTCCAGATTCATCCATGTCCCTGCAAAGGACATGAACTCATCCTTTTTTATGGCTGCATAGCATTCCGTGGTGGATATGTGCCACATTTTCTTTATCCAGTCTATCCTTGATGGGCATTTGGGTCGGTTCCAGGTCTTTGCTATTGTAAACAGCGCTGCTACAAAGAACTAAAACAAATGTACAAGAAAAAAATCCCATCAAAAAGTGGGTGAAGGATATTAACAGGCACTTTTCAAAAGAAGACATTTATGTGGCCAACAAACATATGAAAAAATGCTCATCATCACTGGTCATTAGAGAAATGCAAATCAAAACCACATTGAGATACCATCTCTTGCCAGTTTCTAACTGGCAAGAGATTCTTTAAATCTCTCGTCGATCATTAAGGAATCAGGAGACAACAGATGCTGGAGAGGATGTAAAGAAATAGGAACCCTTTTACACTGTTGGTGGGGGTGTAAACTAGTGCAACCATTATGGAAGACTGTGGCGATTCCTCAAGGATCTAGAAATAGAAATATCATTTGACCCCACAATCCCATTACTAGGTATATACCCAAAGGACTAAAAATTGTTCTATTGTAAAGACACATGCACACGTATGTTCATTGTGGCACTGGATTAGTTTTCTAATGAATAGTTAATTTTGAGGACCTTATCTCTTATCCGTTTGATTTTATGTCTGCAGAATTGTCTGCTCAAGCTCTTTGAGAAATATTAGATTGGATTCTTTTGCTACTTTTTAGTGGTTTTTTCATGTGTGTGTTAGATGACAACTCCTTGTGAATTACATGATTGTCTGAAATTTTTGCCTAATGTAGAGGATGCTTTTTTATTTGGAAAGTAGTTTTCTTTGCTGTGCAGAAACTTTTCAGGTAGATGTAATCCCACATGTTTATTTTTGCATTTCATGCATGTAATTTTGGTCACCCATGTAAGAAAATATGTATCAATGACAAAGCATTTCATGTTATTGAGGTTTTTCTTCTAGGGCGTTTGTTTCTTTTTCTCTTTGCAAAGGTGAGCAGAGATGCGAGTGACCCAAAATACA